TGATTAACTATTTCATATTCACTGTTTTTCATTCTTGAAATTTTAGTAGATCTGCATTTTTAAGCAGTTTTCGTGTATTTTGAGGTTGAAACTCGGGGATTAGTTCCGAGAATATTGGAAACCCGAATGGAAAATGGATAAGAGTGTGTTCTGTTCTTGATGCTGCAACTGTTAGAAAATGACCAAATATGAATTGTTGAAGTTGGATAGTGTAGAAAATTAGTACCCTAATCGTATTATGAATGTAGAGATGAGTATCCATTTGGAAATCTTATGTGGTGATTATATTTGTTTGAAGTAAAAGAAGTATGCCTCCATGGTGGGGGAAGTCATCATCAAAAGAAGCAAAGAAGAGCAAGGAAAGTTTTATCAATACATTGCAGAGAAAACTTAGAACAGCTGATGGTAAAACAAACAGCAGATCAGGAGGATCTCCAAGAACTTGTAATGATAATGATACAATTTCTGAGCAAGGAACTCGATCTCCTATTCTTTTGAGAACAATTTCACCTTCAAAACAAGTATCAAGATGTCAAAGCTTTTCTTCTGAAAGGCCACAAGCTCAACCTCTACCTCTTCCTGGTGTGCAGCCGTCGATTGTAGGTCGTACCGACTCTGGGATTAGTATTTCGCCAAAACCGAGTTCTGAAAGAAGCTCCAAGCCATCGTCATATCTACCACTCCCAAGACCAGCATGCATACCCAGGAGGCCTAACCATGCTGATTTAGATGCAGAGCTTGGTGTTGGTTCAGTGTCCAGTGAGAGCTCGAATGATAGCGCGGATCTACTAGATTCGCGCCATCGTAGTCCTCAGGCAACTGACTACGATCTCGGGTCTAAAACGGCTGCAGGCAGTCCTTCAAGGTGAGCTGCAATGACCTATAACTTTAGTGGAATGCTCATACTTGACCTGTTTGTTTCAATTATTTTTTTCTGTTGTAGTGCCATTGTCAAGGATCAGTCTTCTATTGTCACTCCACCAAGTTCACGAGAGCCCAGAAAACCAGCAAATATCTCCTTGAGCAACCACATTTTCTCCACATCACCCAAAAGGAGGCCTTTAAGCAGTCATGTTCCAAATCTGCAAGTCCCATATAATGGGAATTTTTGTATTGCTCCAGACAGTTCAATGTCAAGTCCTTCAAGAAGTCCCATAAGGGCTTTTAGCACAGAGCAAGTTATTAACAATGCTGTTAGTGCTGGAAAGTTCTATATGGATCTCACTTTTCCTGGGTCAGGCCATTGTTCTAGTCCTGGTTCTGGTTACAATTCAGGGCATAACTCAATGGGTGGTGATTTATCAGGACAGCTATTTTTGCAACAAAGCCGAGGTAGCCCGGAGTATTCACCAGCTCCCAGTCCCAGAATGACTAGCCCTGGTCCTAGCTCCAGAGTCCATAGTGGTGCAGTGACACCAATTCATCCTAGAGCAGGAGGGATACCAACCGAGTCACAGACATGGCCTGACGAGAAGCAAACACACCGCTTACCTCTACCTCCGGTCGCAATTTCCAATGCTCCTTTTTCTCATTCCAATTCAGCTGCAACATCTCCCTCTGTTCCAAGAAGTCCTGGAAGAGCTGATAATCCAGCAAGCCCAGGCTCCCGTTGGAAAAAGGGGAAGCTTTTGGGCAGGGGTACCTTTGGGCATGTGTATGTTGGTTTCAACAGGTACACAGGCCTTTTCATTATCTGCTGCTTAGAACTTTACTGCTGCCTTGGTGCACATTCTCCTGATTCTTATTATTTGTTCTTATTCTTGACTGGTTCAGTGAAAGTGGTGAAATGTGTGCAATGAAGGAGGTTACATTATTTTCAGATGATGCAAAGTCCAAGGAGAGTGGCAAGCAATTAATGCAAGTATGTTCCTGATTGATGGGAAATAATCCTTAATTTCTGTGCTTTGTCCTGTTTTTTTTCTGCCTCAAAGACCTACTTGGTATTGAAACAATTCAGTATTGTTCAGGAAATCACCTTGTTGAGTCGTTTACGACATCCAAACATCGTGCAGTATTATGGATCTGAAACGGTACCCATCAAATTCTACTGAGTTCAAGTTGAGTACTGTTGTACATTACTTAGCTTCAAGATATTGTATGCAGGTTGAGGACAGGCTTTACATTTACCTTGAATATGTATCTGGTGGCTCTATTTACAAGCTTCTCCAGGAATATGGACAGCTTGGAGAAGTTGCACTTCGTAGTTATACCCAGCAAATACTGTCCGGGCTTGCGTATTTACATGCTAAGAGTACTGTTCATAGGTGAATTGAATCAGCCAAGCTTGTTCCGGTAGTTTGAAGTATAAACCTTTGTTACTTCCATAACTTGGTTTAATTTTTTCTTTAAAGGGATATCAAAGGAGCAAATATACTCGTTGATCCCACGGGGCGTGTTAAGTTGGCTGACTTTGGGATGGCAAAACATGTAAGCTTCTTTGTGCTAAACACAAATCGTGTGTATATGGACTCGTTACACGAAGTTTTTTTTTACTTTATTTATCCATCTTACTTTACTTATCCTGAATTTTCTTTCAGATAACTGGGCAATCGTGCCCTTTGTCGCTTAAAGGCAGCCCATACTGGATGGCACCGGAGGTCGGACCGCCCTTGTTTACTAATGCAAATTCTTGTTATAACTTTCTTAGGCTAAAAGTTTAATCCAAATTCATTTCTTGTACAGGTTATAAAGAATTCAAATGGTTGTAATCTTGCTGTGGATATTTGGAGTCTTGGATGCACTGTTTTGGAGATGGCTACAACGAAGCCTCCTTGGAGTCAATATGAGGGAGTAAGTGGCTTAAACCAAAGTTCTGATCTTCTCTATCTTGAATTTTTATACATTAGTAATTGTTTTTGGGTCCCCGTTCGATTGTGTTTTAGATAGACCTATTGTAATAGTTCAATCTAATCGCTAATAGATATTGTCTTTTTTTGAGATTTCCCTCAACATTTTAAAATACGTATGTTAGAGAGAAGTTTCCACACCCTTATGAGGAATGCTTCGTTTCCCTCTCAGAGCCAGACACTAAGCTGTGTGCTAATGAGGACGTTGGGTCCCCAAGAGGGTGGATTGTGAGATCCCTTATTAGTTGGAGAAAGGAACGAAACATTTCTTGTAAGGGTGTGGAAACCTCTCTCTAGTAGATGCGTTTTAAAACCTTGAGGTGAAGAATGGAAGAAAAATCTCAAAAAGGACAATATCTGCAAGAAGTGGACTTAGGCGATTACACCTACATTTTTTCTCTTTTCTTTTTTGTACTGATGAGTTATGTTTGATGCTGAGGTCTACAGGTCGCTGCAATGTTTAAGATTGGCAATGGCAAAGAACTTCCCGAAATCCCAGAGCATCTTTCGCACGATGGAAAAGATTTCGTTAGACAATGTCTGCAACGTAATCCAGCTCATCGTCCTACAGCTGCTCAACTTTTGGAACATCCTTTTGTAAAACATGCTTCACCTCTTGAAAGACCGATTTCGGGTTCTGAGCATTCAGGAAGGAATCCCAGCTTCTTGGATTCTGATAGATCTGCAGCTCCTTCATCTAGACTCTCCACAGCCGTGTTGCATTCCAGGTTCTTTTGAATCTCTCACGGTGTGTGTATTGTGTTGTTGTCAATAGGCAAATTTTCACGTTTTTTTTTTCGTTCTGTCAGTGAAATTCATATTCCGAGGAACCTTTCATGTCCTGTTTCCCCCATTGGAAGCCCTCTGGTGCACTCTCGATCGCCACAGCACCCGAGTGGAAGAATGTCTCCGTCGCCCATCTCTAGCCCTCGGAACATGTCAGGTGCATCGACTCCGCTCACGGGAGGAAGCGGTGCTATTCCACACCAGCATCTCAAACAATCACCGTACCTACAGGAGGGTTTTGGGAGCTTGCCGAAGCCTTCAATAGGTCCCTATAGTAATGGTCCTTCATATCAGGATTCGAACCCTGACATCTTTCAGGGGATGGGGATTCAACCAGGTTCTCACATCTTCTCCGAGCAATTTGGAAAGCCTGCTTGGGAATTATACGACGGGCAGGCAGTCTTGGCCGATCGTGTTTCTAGGCAGCTCCTGAGTGATCACATAACAACTCCCTCCCTGGATCTAAGTCCGAACTCTCTTTCGACCAACCGCAGATAGTCGGATTTAAGCAACTGCTTGAAATTTCACGGACCCATCTACCAGAGGAAGCTCACAAGAGGGTTCTGGTCTCTCTTCTTTGGCAGACTTGAAACCATAACCAAAACTGAAACGTGTTGTTTAACGATGAAGAAACTAAGCAGTGTCATGTCATAAAGACCCGCTACAAACGGACCTGTGCAGTAAGGTCTCTAATATCTTGAAAGAACTGGAGAAAGTTGATTTCACTATCACATGATATATAAGGTTCCTTACAACGACTAACAGATAAAGAAAGGTGAAGTTCTTGATGGAAGTATGCATACACCCGCCGAAGCTGGCTTCCGGGTACGCAGAAACCTTATTTTTGTTGGTAGCTTATGATATGGTGGCATCAAATTGTACAAAATTAAGTACAATTTTGCTTTAGGATTGAACCTGAAGAGATCTATGTTATGGCAATACACCAAGCCAAAGAAACATTCATGGCAATGAAAGCTGTACACTTAAACATCGTCGAATAAGATGTTATGAAGATTGAAATGGTAAAATCCCTATCCATCAGACCCCCCCTTATGTCTGAAGCTTATGTACAGGAAGTGAAAGACTGATCTGGGGTTCTAAATTTGTCAATGGAAGCACCAAATCTCGACCAAGTCCGTGCATTCATACCGTTAATGCTTGATCGAGAGCGTTACTGTATACCGTTTGATCATATCAACTGTATGTACATCCCACTCAGTAATTCAGCAAAAAAAAAATGGAAAAATGAAGATTCATATTTGAATCTCTATATGGATCATCATCTGTTGATAGAGAATATATGTTATACAGGTTGTTTTCAGCATATTGGTGGTCGTTACACTAATCCATCTAATCCTAAATCCTTAGTAATCCAAATGTTTAATATGTATATGATAGATAGTGTAATTCTAAACAAATTTATAGCAATATCACACATAACACAGATTCAGACAAACTCCAGCCTGAAAATTACTTGAACAGTTGGATGATAGTACCTTCGTTTACGAGGATCGTAGGGCGAATCCCCTTACCTTATTTGTGGTGTTATACTCTAAAAACACACAGCAATACGACCTAACTTGATGTATAGAGGAAACTGAGCTGAGTTATTTGAGTAAGTTAGTGGTAAAATCCCAAAGTTTCTTAGCCAGATCAACATTCTGCCCATGTTGGCTTGCCTTGTTTAGGTTACTATTCAGAAAATATTCACCACTCACTCCCTTCACTTGTGGATGCAATGCTACATAGCAGGTTGTTGCTGCACCCTGCAAATTCGGACCCTGGTCAATAAACAACTAACCCCAATATGCATTTTGCTTCTATTGGTCGAGATATTCTACATAAGAACGCAGAAGTTTTGTTTTATAACGATTTCGTCATTAGAATGAAGATTACCTGTTGAACATTTTTAAATATGAGTTTGCCGACAGTGTTCGCAATACCTACACGAAAAACAAAAGTAGTTTTCAGGCTGATAAAGCTAGCAATAATACAAGAAGAAAAAATTGGTGGATTCGAAAAATTATAAGTCTATAGTTTTAAGATGCATATCTACTGAACTGAACGCTGCATTATACTCATGTAGGGAGAAGTTTTCATATGAAAACGTAAGCATTCAAGATAGACAACAGAACAGAGGAGATTTCTGCCCAATTTCATCGCCGCAGTAATAGAAAAGTCAGCTTCCATCAATGTGATGTGAGAAATAGACTTCAATAGGATCCCAAATGTATAAGCAACTGTTAACTAAAGACCCGTTTGATAATCGTTTGGTAAGCCTATAAATACTATTCACATTGTTATTAATTTGTTATCGAACGGAGCTTCGGTATTACCATTGCCAAAATTGAAGTGGCGGAAAAGATTTGTGGCAATTATTCCTGGGTGAAGTGAGTTTGCAGTTATGTTTACTCCTTCTTCCTGTACAAGAACAACCCATCAGTTTTAATTAGTGAACAAAACAAGAAAAAGAAAATGAACGAAATTTAACGAAATAAGCTCTTGGTCTCAATAATTTGCCTCCCTATATGAAGAACATATCTATCAGACTGTAGTAAGAGTAACAGCAGCATTGACTGAAGTTTGCCAATGAATAATAATTTTAGATTTGGAAGACACAGATTGAACTTAAATTTATTATATTATGCCCTTATATGTTCATTGTTTCTCGTTTCTCGTTTTTGGTTCGTTTTTTTCCACCATCAACCAAACAAGTACCCGTACCTTGAAACGTCTTGTAAGTTCATTGGCATGCAGCACATTACATAACTTTGATTGGCCATAAGCTAGCATTTTTTTGTACCTACAATGAGAGAATTTGAACACATGAACTATCAAACTTTTATATGAATAAATGTAACAAGAAAGCTCAAAGCTTAAGTTCATAGAAAAACATTTCATCTTTCATTAATTTCTAGCTACTCTGAATATCAATTGGAAAGGAAGTGGCAATTTGATCACTTTGAGGGCAATACTTAAAACAAAGCAAACGGAAAAAATGGCAGCAAGCAGCAAATATGCAAACTGAGTTACTTGTTTGTTTCTATCCTGCAGGCAATGTAAGGAGTTGAAAGTCATCTGCATTTCAGTAGGAGGAAAACAAAGAACTGCCTAGCACTTACCTTGATTCGTCGTTAATTCCGTCAAATCGGATGCCTTCAGGATATGTATAACGGTGAGCTTCTGAGGAGACGTTAACAATTCTTCCTTCTTTTTTACTTTTAATGGCAGTTTTCTTCATACTATCCAACAGTAGATCTGTCAAGAGGAAATGACCTGCACGAACTCGAGTATTAAGGTCATTAATGATCAGCTGTATAATAAGTTAGCTTCCTTACTGTTATTGTAGACTAAGAAACTATCCATCAATTCTACTTCATAGAATGAAAATTGGTACAAAAGTTCCTATAGCAGCCAATATATCAATGCAATAAACTCAAAGTTCTAAAGCTAAGCAAGGCCTACTGCCTAATCTCCCCATGGCCACAGCCTCAATTTCTCACCCAATCATGTTGGGCCATAACAAGTTCATGTAAACTCTTGTTGTGTCAATGGTTTCACGAGTATCCTATATACATCTTCTTGCAAGTTCATATAGATTAAAAGCTTTCAGTACACAAGAAATAATCTATCACATAAGCGACATACCTAAATGATTTGTTGCAAATTGCAGTTCTATGTTATCTTTTGAAAGTTCAAAAGGGGCAGCCATGACTCCTGCATTATTACTTCCACCACAGAAAAGAACAGATATGAAAAAGATAGCTAACTTATAGTCCTGTATGTCACTGTAGTGGCTATCAATTCTTACATGAGGATATTAAGTGGAAACCCAGCTGACTGATAATTTGAGGCAAATTTTCTCACAGAAGCCATGGAGCTAAGATCCAACTCCATGGCATCAATTTTTGCAGAGGGGTTCTCCTTGATGATGGTTTCTCTTACATTTCTACCAGCTTCTAAGTTCCTAATACCCATAACAACATGGACTCCGCGTAATGCAAGAACACGCGCAGTTTCAGAGCCAATACCACTCGACGCTCCTGAAGAAGAACACCCAGATGTTATAAACAATAACGAAAGCACAATCCCCAGAAGATTCTAATGGAAACCTATTAGCATAAACCCAGATGTATAATCGAAGGAGGATGATACCCAGTTCAAAATACATAAACAAGAACTGTTCTAGAGTAAATTCGGACCTGTAACAATGGCGGTGAGTCCTGTGCCATCGATTCCGTTTGTAACTTCCTCGGCGGTGGAAGAAGACGAAAACCCGGAGGGCCCTTTTCTTCTGAATAACCACATTCCGTTGAGCGATGGAATTTCTGACGCACTTGAGAGTTTTTGAATCTGTAAATTGCTTTTAGAGACCAACCAGTTGTGGCCAACTCATTTTCTTGATAAGAACCATGCATTCTGCCACCTCTCTCTCGCATGTCAATCGGGCCCAATTTCACTCAATATATCCAAAGTACGCGCCGGATGGAAACTAAAGCTAATCTGTCAATTCAATTGAAAAAAATGGGTTCGGTGTACGATCCTGAAGAATCAATGTTGCGCCTATTTTTCTTCTAGATATCAAGTGGATGGATAAGTATCGATGGGTGCTCGACCGTTCCAACTTTTCTTCAGCTTTTTGGAGCGCACAGTTGAGAGATAGCGATAGCTTCCTTGTTCTCGCATAGATGGAGCGAGTAAAGTTCCAAGGGTTCATAGTGAGACAAGTCATCATTATTTATAGTTATGATAGGTAGCAAGTGAAAATGTATTTATGTGTGCGAGAGACACGCCCTAATGCTTATTTTTACATGATCCGATTGATTCGGTTAGGTGTTTGTTATATATTTTCATCTTTTAACTATTTGACAACACGAGCAAACCACTTTTAAGGTTTTAAATATGATGTTCGGAGTAAGATGTTTACATCTTAAAATAAAATATTTGAAAAAATTGGATATGAGTTATATAAATGCGACTAGTTTGCAAAATATTCATAAATGTTTAAACTGGAAGTACAAAATGTTAAGCTTTAGAGAGCGGAAAAACGTATATGCTAAGGAAAGATTTCTGCACTATTATAGCGTCCAGTTGGTATACTGCCCGATGTTTAATTCTGATACCATTTGTAACAACTCTATGTTATTGCAGATATTGTCGGGGTCGATTGTGAGTTCTCACATCAATTCGATAGGGAAACTAAATAGTTTTTAAGAGTATGAAAACCTCTCTCGAACTGACCTCTTTTAAAAAAATTTAAAAAATTTAATGAAAAAGACCCAAATAGAAATCAGAGTCAAAACAATATTTATTAGTAGTGATAAATGTATGCTTAGCCTGAAACCTAACTACCATCACGTGTGTGGCCAGTTTTGTTTGTTGAGGTCACGTGCCAAACACGAACCGAACACAAATTGTTGAGCGTTAGTGAGGGCAAAAATAAAAAATAGAAAGTAAAAAATCTGGAAGTGCGGAATATCAGCGGAGGCCTGTGTGAAACCCTAGCTCCGCTCTGCTCCCCCCACCTTTGCCCAATCTTTCATTTGATGTGCAATATTTCCGACTTCGAGGTGCCATATTTCGATTTCGAGGTGCGAATTTGTGTTTTTTCCTTCCTATATTTCCAGTTCAATCGTGTTTTACCATATCTTAGTCTATCTTTTTAGCTCCTGTTCGTTGGGATTCCGATTCATGAAAGTAATAATAGCTAATAATATAATAGAATTTGAATTGGTTTCAAATTCAAATTCATCCACAAAAATCTCAACCGACTACGGAATCACCCTATAAAATCTCAACCCACTCTGGAATTCCCTATAAAAGGACCTCCCTCCCCATCATTCAAATCACTCCTCCTCTCAATCTCAATTCAGTTTTCTGTTGTCACCAACAATTGGCATCAGAGCTGAGTTGACTGTTCGACGCCCGGGGAAGGCCCCCGAAGGAGCCGTTCCCAGTCCGTCCCCCGCCCGGCACGCAGCGACCAGCTCTCGTCGCGGGAGTAGCTCGAGCAGTCCACCAACAGCCGACGGGTTCGGGACTGGGACCCCCGTGCCCAGCCCTCAGAGCCAATCCGCCATCCTGAGGTTCGACGGTCACTATGATCATTGGGCGATGTTGATGGAAAATTTTCTCAGATCAAAGGAGTTCTTTGATATTGTGGAAACAGGTTATGAAGAGCCAAAGAAGAGGCAGAGGTCGTGAGAGAGGCAGTCGAGAAAGAAGTGGAGATGTTGGCAGGTCAGCAGACCTAGTCAGAAACGATTATAACAACAATTCTTCTCAACTTTAGATGAAAATTTTCATACTACAGTCTCTCTTGGCAACAATTCATCTCTCCAAGTGATGGGGAAAGGAACCGTAGATATCAAGACTAGAAATGGCTTTGTAGAGTCTATTTCTAATGTATTCTACATTCCTGATCTGAAGGTCAACTTACTTAGTATCGGTCAGTTACAAGAAAAGGGGTATGTGATCACATTCCAAAATGATAGAATGTGAAATTTATGACTCCAAAAGAGGATCGATTGCTAAGATGAAGATGACCACCAACCGTCTATATCCGTTGACGTTAAATATCGTTGCCAAAAGTTTGATGGTGAAGAAAGAAGATACCACTTGGCTTTGGCATTTTAGGTATGGTCATCTACACTTCAAAGAATTAAAGACGTTGTCCTCAAAGAAGATGGTAACTGGGTTGCCAGATATTACTCCACCAACGGAAATTTGCGAGAGCTGTGTAGTAGCAAAACATGAAAGAAACTCTTTTCCATCCGGAAAATCAAGAAGAGCTCAAGCAATTTTGGAGTTGATTCATTCAGACATATGTGGTCCCATCTCTCCTGCATCAAATGGTAACAAGAAATATTTCATGACCCTCATCGATGACTTTAGTCGAAAAACATGGACTTTTTTCTTGCACGCCAAATCAGAAGCCTTTGACTGCTTCAAAAAATTTTGTGCTACTATGAAAACTGAAACTGGAAGAAGAGTCAAGGTGAAAACTGAAACTGGAAGAAGAGTCAAGGTTTTAAGAACTGACAGAGGTGGAGAATTCTGCTGGAAAGAGTTTATTCAATTTTGTGAAGAGAAGGGCATACGGAGGCAATTAACAACAGCATATACACCACAACAAAATGGTGTGGCCGAAAGGAAAAACAGGACCATTCTGAACATGGTTCGAAGTTTACTAAATAAAGGAGAAGTCCCGAAGGAATTCTGGCCAGAAGTTGTTGTGTGGTCCGTTCACATTCTCAATCGGAGCCCTACCTTTTCTGTTAGAGACATGACTCCACAAGAAGCATAGAGCGGAAGAAAACCTGCAGTAGACCACTTTAGAATCTTTGGGTGCATAGCATATGCACACGTTCCTGATGAGAAAAGGAAGAAACTTGAGGACAAGAGTTCGAAGTGTGTGTTCCTTGGAGTAAGCGAGACCTCTAAGGCATACAAACTCTACGATCCTTTGACAAAGAAGATGGTGGTGAGTCGTGATGTAGTCTTTGACGAAAATAAGACTTGGACATGGGAAGAAAAGATCACTGTGAATCAGCAGATTCCTGTAGATCTTGAAGAAGAACAAACTGAAGCTCCTATTCAGCCTCACTATGAGCATGGAGAGAGCTCATCACAAGCTCAACAAGAAGAACCAGTAGAAGAAGATCATGATCAAAATCAAAGACATCCAAGAACAAGAAAAAGACCAAACTGGATGATTGATTATGAGATGGATTATGAATCAAGTGATAGTGGTTATTTTGCATTCTTTATGGATAGTGATCCAATTGTCTATGAAGAGGCAGTAAAAGAGAAGAAATGGA